GGAGCTGGGGTTGTTGAGCCTGGAGAAGAGGAGGCTCAGGGGAGACCTCATCACTCTCTACAACTACCTGAAAGGAGGTTGCAGCCAGGTGGGGGTTGGTCTCTTCTCCCAGGCAACTATCAATAAGACAAGAGGACATGGTCTTAAACTGCACCAGGGGAGGTTTAGGTTTGATACTAGGAAGAAATTCTTTACAGAAAGGGTAATTAGGCATTGGAATGGGCTGCCCAGGGAAGTGGTGGCTTCTACATCCCTGGAGGTTTTTAAGATGAGACTGGATGTGGCACTTAGTGCCTTGGTCTAGTAACCACGGCAGTAGTGGATGAAGGGTTGGACTTGATGATGTCCGAGGTCCCTTCCATCCCAGATGATTCGATGATTCTATGACTGTAGGAAGCATCAGCAATGTATTACAGGCATAGAAGTCAAGAGCTTTTCTTCCATGTGTCATTTATGTATTGCATTTATGTCCCAACTTTAAAATAAAAATATGCAAGCAGAGAACATCCTTGGGTAATTATAGCAAAATAACACTAGCAGAAGATAATAGACAGTAATTTTGTTGCAAAGACTAGAACAAATCAGTCCTAGATGATTACTTATAAATAAAATATTTCTCATTAAAAGGTATTGGTGGAGAATCTTGGTCTCAGATATGTCACAGGAAAAAAAATCTTGTAATTTCAGTAAATACAGGATTTTTTTTTTGATGATTTCTTATTACAATAATTTAATAGCATCTCAAGAGATGTCAAGTCTTAAACCTAATTTGTCATCTTGTCTGCAGTGTTTATTTGTTTGCACTGCATTCTGGTATTCTTTGAAGTTAATTTTATTAAATGATATAAAATGCAAAAAACAGCCAAAGCAATCTATGAATAATAATTGGGTAAAGGATTTATATCTTATTGGTTGTTTTCAATTTTATGCATGTTACATACCACATTTGTTCAGAGATTGTCTTCTTACAGTGCATTTCCCAAAACATGGATTAATTATGTCAGATTTTCTGCAACCACACTGGGAGTATGGAAATTGTGATGATGGTATTTTCAGTATATGTACTACCTTGGTCCCCACTTTCTGGATTGGACTGTTTGCTGTTTTCACAAGTCCTACTTTTACTCGTTGAATGAGAATTCACTTTTCAAGGCAATAAATAGTGCATATTGAGTTCTCATTTTGGTCTTACATCAAGGCATCATAAGGTTGTGTGCCTCAACTTGAAGGGTGTCTCAGAGTCCTCATGAGTAGCTGATGCCACTACCTACAAAAGAAACTTTTTTAATTTGGTTGCATTTTGTGCTTTAAAAGGATTTGGCACCTGGTCCCCCTGTCAATTCTATTTTAGGGTATACCAAAATTTATTGCTTCCTAAAAATGCTATATATAGTCCTATAAAATTTTCTCAGTGATGCGTTATGCACAGTTACTGAGGATTATACAACGAAAGTACTTGAAGAAAATCGGCTGCTTTTACCAGCTAAAAGAAGCCCTATCAGAATGTATTATAGAGTGTTGAGCTCAGTAACACTGTACCTTCAAACCAGTAAGTAAGTACTTCTGCTTATATTTTATAATTCATGAAAACTGATTTAGGAATAATTTATATGACACATATTTAGGTGTTTGGCAATTTATGAAAAGGCCGGCATGTTTTACAAATGTACTTAATGCTTAGAAGTCAATATATATACATAAATATATTTGTACAAAATTATAACAACCTATCCTATCTCACTGAGGCAAGCATTCAACAAATGGTTCTAAGGAGCTGTGATATTCAAAAACATGAAGACAACACTACAGTGATAGTGGAGTAGATCAGTGTTCCCAAGGGTACCTATTCCTATTTAAAATTAGGATTCAGAACAATCACCATAGTGAGCACTGTGACACTGAAGTCAGCCCACAGGTATATGAAAGATAACAACATGTGAAACTCTCTGTCTCATGTGTTTTTGTCACTGCTGCAGTTGCACATCTGTGTGAAACTGTGTGCTTAGGTGATTGTGTCTGGTCTTTCCTTTCTTGCCTTGGCACTATGAAGCAAACATTGAAAAAGTATAGGTTTGGTCCCCGTTCACTGCTTATGCATTTTGCAGTAATGAAAATGAAAAGAAGAAAAGAACCATGCTTAGAACATATGAAACCACAAGTGGAAGTAATCCAGCATCTCCAAGACACTGTACTTTGAGGACAATGTGACTGCAGTCACAGCATTCTGCATCACCTTGTACGTCTACTTTATCTGTGAAATGTGCAGCTCTGGCTACACAGAGCAGCACTTCAGCTTCTTTGATAGGAGACAAGAATTAAATGGGTCTTAATGGGCATATGCTTAACTAATTTACCCAGTTTTTGCCATCTAGAATTTGAACATCTAGTTTAAGTAGTTTAAGATAGTAGCTACACTTTCAATATAGTATGATATACTGGAGTAGAGACACATCCATAGACTATTAGGGACACATTCAGAGTCTATTAGAGAGAATCAGTTTTTCCCAGTTTAAACAAGGATATAGGAACTGTTATTCAGAGATTGTCTAAAAGAAAGAAATAGCCAGGGTGACTAGCTTGAAATACTTTGCATTCCGGACTTGATAACTTAAAACTCACAACATTTCCCTACTCTTATTTTTGCAAAAAGAACTCTCCATCATGTGGACATCTTTGGGGGAAATTTGTTGAAGATCATTCAAAAGGAACAGATAATTCTTTCATGTGGGAATAATTTCATGCCTTGTCAATAACATTTTTACTCCTTACACTTTAGATGAAGAGTGTTTAATCATCTCTGCAAAGAAACTGTCAGTTCTAGGAGCTTGTTTTGCTATCTTGATGGTTGAAGTGAAGTTTTGTTGGGATTAGTCCTCTCCATGCTATAGACCTGATTTTGCAGAGAAGTTAAGTAAGAGACATTGCTAAGTAGGAGTCTCCAAAACCAATGTTATGCATAAATTGAAGTGCGTTCCTGAGTCATGCCTGTGGTTTGGTGGGACTGTCATTCTCTTTCCTCTGAGTGGGAATGACGTGCATGGTAAAACTGTATGGAAATGTCAAAGTACCGCAGTTCTATAGGTCCTTCATCTTCATTCAAACTTAATCTGACTCGGAATAAGGCCAGGTACCCTGGGATTTTGCCTGCCCATCTAAGGGTCCTTGTTAATGCTGCATCTCTCTCCTGGCTTCTCCATATATCATCGGAGAAGAGAAAGATGATAGCTCATTTCTTCAATTGTTTTCTCCTGAGATAAAGAGACAATCAGTGCCCTTTACATTTCTCATAGCTTAAATAGATTTGCTGTTCCTGAAGAAAGACAATGGTCTTGATCTTCTGACAAGATTTGTTGATTTACATAGATCTGTAAAAAAAAGAAGTTTACAAAGTAGGTAGGAATATAACCACTTGAATGATTTATTGGATTGCTTTGTTTTATCTTGAACTCACAATATAAGTAAACGTCATTTATCAAACAAGGTCAAAGGAATTGCACACACCTAGAGATGAGGGAAGCTATTCTACTTTCTGTAACACAGATTGGTGGACTCAGGAGAACAGCATTTGAAATAAATATATTTTCTCCTAAATTGTCAAATCCCTTTAGTTTGTCTGAAACACGATGTCCTTAACTCTGTTTATGGCAGATGGGAGCTCACCTGTCACATACACACAGAGAATGAAAGTGGTGCTGAGACTAGGTGTTTATTTTTATGTGGAAGGGGCAACTACATAGAGAGAATTTTGGCAAAAAATTCTAGCATTTGCTTTGTGTATTGTGCACAGTTAAGATGCTGTCCTTTTAGTCTTTTTAGTCCTTTTCAGGTTACTAAGACAAACATAGCAAACTTTATTTAGCTTGGTGCAGGTGAGAGATTTTTGCCAGTCATTAACATGAAAAGATGAACACACACTGAAGCAAAGAGGCTTGCATAGATTTAGGACAGTTAAAAATCTGACCTCCCTCAAATTCTTTTAATTCTCAGTAGATACTAAATCTTTCATAGGTATAGACAAAGGGCACGGATGGAAGTGTCATCCTATGCCCCTGAGAGGAAATAATTTATGAACCTTTAGACAAAAGGGTTGCCTTAAGTTTCTGTGTTGTCCGGTGCCCGTGAAATTAGTGTTTCCTCAAAGTAACCGCACAATGTGATATTTTATTCTAATTATGTGAAATATTACCGGAATCACAAAGAAAAATTTTAATGCCCAAAATACCTGAAGGGTGAGGGGATATCTTTAAATGAGTCTGAGAAGACTTATAACGAAAAGTAGCACTTGTCCAATTTTAAGCAAAGTAATGGTTTTTTTCCTACATAAATCCACATTAAATATATTTTAAAAAGATGTTTTTCTAGACAGCTGTAAATTTTATTAACTGATTGTTTTTTTTGTAGAGCAATCTGTCTTTTTTTTCAACAAGACACAATGTAATTCATAATATAATTACTTGAAAGACCACTGATATGGTTAGAATTAATGACCTGCTCAAATTCCTCATTAAAGTTTCATAAGTAAACTCTAAATATGTTCTCATTACAGAGTTTGTTTCTAATTTGAGTTGCCCTTTATGTTAATACTAGATTTTTCAATGTGGAAAGAAAAAGAGGGGATTTGTATGTAAGGTCATCACTTCCGATGGAGATAGGGAACCCGTGAATTGTCAGTGGAAAAAAATCTTTGGTTTTTGGCATGACAATGAATTTATAATCCTTCTCCTTTTTGATTAATCAGCATTAAATATAGATAAAGGAATTTCAGAGTAAATTTCACAAACTTAGTCTGACAGATGTGAATCAAATGCTGTCAAAGTATGATACATCTATATGATCAAAGGGATATCTGATCACAGAATACCACAATCATTTAATTATATATCATAGAGAGGTTAAAATTCTCTTGGAATGAGATCAGCTATTTCTAATACAATTTGAAATGATAACTACATTGACTTGCTTGTGTATGATTTTTATGTTTTGGGTTTTTTTGCCTTTAGGCTGTGCTTTGGAGATACAAGTTTTCCCAGCTCAAAGGTTCTTCAGATGATGGGAAGAGCAAAATCAAGTTTTTGTTCCAAAACCAAGATACTAAACAAATTGAAGCAAAGGTAAAAACAATACTTTGTTTATATAAAGGCAATGTACAATTTTCAAAGCAACCAGGGAAGAAAAGCAGTATAATAAAACTAAGTTACTCCAAAATATTAAATTAATGCTCAAAGGATGCAAACAAAACCAAAGAAATTGAAGAAAAGTGAATCAATTACTCGGACATTTTTCTAGTTTAAAGTCTTTTGAAAGGTGTAATTAGATTAAAAATTAATAAAATACAGGGCTCGTTATTTATGGTTTTAGGCATGATTGCAAAATCTCCTCTTTGTCATTTTGATAAAGCTAGCTGAGAGATTGAGTACCTTATTCCCTTACAAGGCTGAAGCTTTGTCTGTGTCCAATGCAAAATCAGAAAAGCTGTGTTTTCAGTTGTGCTTTTGATTCAAGAGTTAGTTCATGGAAACAGTAGCTGTGAGAGATTTAGCCTTACTTCAATTTATGTCTTTTGAGAATAGGGCATTTACTGTCCCAGTGTGTGTGAGAAGTGATCTCCCTGGGTCTCTGATAATTGAAATTGCCTTGCAGTCTGGATCAATGTTCTCTTTGACTAGAACCCTAATTTTAGTGTAAACCTAAAGACTATTTTCTTGTCCATCTTTAGCCTTGCTTCTGAAGCATTTTCTACATCATTTTTCATGACCACATCAGACAGAAAATTGCTGACTGAATGTGATAATAATACAGTTCCATGAGCAAATAGGAAATAGTTAAATAAATTGTACAAAGGTGCTAAATATGTACAGTATAATAAACTGTGTAAAGAAAAAATATATTGCTTTATGACGATAGACACCTCTAACTTTAAATGCCAATAGCTACCTTAAGCAGCTATTTTTCCTTCCTCTATGTCTCTTTATGTTTGGTGTAAATTATTTTCTACCCAGCAGCTATTTACTTCATTTTGAATGTTTTACTCAATACAATGAAGGTATATAAAACCTCTCATTAAATCAACAACAATGAAATGTGGTGACCATGTCTTTCAATACATCCACATTCTGCTGCATCTCAAAGATAAATACTTTCTTCTGATTCCTTCAGAAATTGTTTTAATAATATAGAACTTTTTTTCACCTATAAGAAGAAAATGCAAACTAATTTAATGTCATGAGGATGATTTTCTCTTAAGGAAACAATTGTACACTATTATCCTGCTGAAGGATGAAAGTCAAGTTATTCTTCTTCTAATATCTGTCTGCTATTGCTGTCATATTAACACAGGATTTTAGGATTGAAGAAACTTCATAGGAGTCTAAGAGTGGGACAGTGGTAGGTTTTTTGTTTGGTTTTCTTTGTTTGGTTTGGTTTTATCGTTGGTTTTCTTAAATTGGTAAAACTAGAATATATTTTTAATGCTGATTTAAATTTTTTAAAAGATTTCTAAAAATTATGAAATCTAGATTTTGAAGAGGAAAACAGTTTTCATGAAAATATTTTCCTGTTTTAAATTATATCTGTCATGTAACTCACTTTATAAGCCTTAGAGATATCCTGGTCTGGTACCTTTATTGTACCTATTGTTGTTCCCACTCAAGTTGAATAGAGCTTTATTTCTAGAAAATTTTGCCTACCTTTTATTAAGGTTGAAATTCTACCTTCAACCTTACGAAGGCAGAATATTACACAGACTTACTAGCATGCTTATGAATATTATCATGTTCCCTGGTTGTTTCTCTTTACTATAAATATAAACTTTCACCTTAATCAATTTGGAAATAAAATTTGTTACTTTAATTTTCTTGGTGATGAAAGAATATCATCTATATTATGATCAAAGATGTCAGATTATAGTCTCTTTGGAAGGTGCTATGGCATTTATAATGAGCACATCTATCAATTCCAATTTGTTTGCTTGTTAAATGTATTGCTTAGTCTAAAAAATGTAAATAAATGTGGCTGCAAAATGAATGCAAAGGTTTTGGGTCATATATTTTGAACATTCACTGGTTAGCTTAAAATTCTTCAGTAGCATTTAAACCTTTCATGGATTTCAAGCCCTATGCAGCATGAGGAGAGGTGGAACAGTCTAGCCTCAATTTTTTTGACTTTACATTACTAAGTTAGAGGTAGAGCTATTTGTGGAACTGTTGAGCCATTAGAAAATGTTAATCAGATTTTCAGAAATGCTTGTAATGCCAGATTTCATGCATACTGTATGCAGGCTTCATTTGGAATAAGACGATGGAAATTTTGTAAAACATCTGTTAAAGGTTGTGGTGAATATTCATGGCAACAGCTTTCATCACCTGTTAAATGCAGCTCTGTTTTTCAGATGGCCTGGAGACTCACTGTCATGAGGGAAAATACAGTGCAACATTTTCCTTATGATTTTGGTTTTTTTCCAGTTATGTTATATTGGGAATAATCAGAATGTAGTGAAATGAGACCTCACAGTGGAGAACAAAATCAAAAATTTAAGGGGCTATTGCACCAGTTCATTAGGGCTCTTCACTTCTGCATTTCCAAGCAGGAGTCTGGAAGCAGGGTACCTTTCAAGGCACCTCAAATCCTGTGTACAGTTTTGGGCCCCCCCTTGCAGGAAGGTTCTGAGGTGCTGGAGCAAGTTCAGAGAAGAGCAACAAAGCAGGTAAAGGGGCTGGAACACAAGTGTTATCAGGGCCACCAAAGGGAGCTGGGATTGTTTAGCCTGGAGGAAAGGAGGCTCAGGAGGGATCATATGGTACTCTACAACCTGAAATGAGGTTATAGCCAGGTAAGGGTCAGTCTGTTTACATGAGTAAAAAGCAATAGGTCAAGAATGGCCTCAGTTTACACCAGGGGAGTTTCAGGTTGGATATCTGGTGGAATATACAGAGATATCACTGCCAGTGTTAGAAGAATCTAGGAAAAATACATTTTGGGAAAAAGTTCAGCACCACATCCATTCATCAGGTAGGTTTTTTATTTTGTTGAGAAACACACTTGCCACCAGAGTTTATATTCCTAAGTGAAAGTGACTTCACTGACACTGAATTACTAATACTTTTATAATACCGTCAACATTTTTTGCAGTGTGCTTCATGCTGACTTAAAGAAATTCAAAATGGCTTGCTTTGAGACATACATGTGCTACGGATTTAGTTACAATTTAACTTATTACCCGGTATACTTCTTGTCAGTTTTAAAATAATTTTAGATATTTAAACATTACAAATACTGCCTTTTATTTTCTGTAGAGACTTTGTACTGATGCTTTTGTTTGGCTTCTCTCTAAGTTAAATCATGTTACTACAAAGATATATAATGTAGAATAAAAGAAGTGTTTCCTCATAGATTTAAGCAGTTCCAGACTGAAAAATCTGAACAATAATTACCATAGGTCACACCAGTGGATCCGTGGCAGGGTGCCTGGAAACAAACACCTGAGTTTGATGGTCTCTAAGGCAAAGTCTAAGTGGTTTCTGACAGGAAAACCACTTAAGGGCAACATTAATCACCAGTACCCCTTAGACATTCCAATCTGTAGGTTATTTCCCGGCTGTCACTCAGCAGGAGATATTGCAGGAGTTTGCACAGTCAGACAGAATTTTTCTGAGTGAGAACTACAAAATAGAGCTGTCGGCTTGGCAGAACATGGAGCCAATGTGTCCCTGTATTTCTTCTTACTGAAATGTTGGGATGGGTTAAAAAAACCCAAGCACAGAAGGGCAAAGCTTTCTCTGCATCTATAAGGATTTCACTTAGGCACCTTCCTATCTAGTTATCTATCTGTTAATCTGGGGGTTTAGGTGTAGTTTAATGATCCATTTTTTCTCCATATAATCACAGAAGCCTCCAGAGACTAACACAACCTCAGGACTGTAATAAACTCAGTGTTGTAATCTTCAGTTTTACCTGACTAAATATTAGACCACAGCAGTGAAACTGCTTTATATTTCTCTGACAAAAAGGAAGAGTGCCTTAAATCAATGAGATACTATTTCAAGATAAAATGCTTCCAAACATAGAAGTATGTAATGTGTAGAAAAATCAACATTAGTGCTTTTTCTTATATAATTTCTCCTTTGAAATTTCTAAATAAGCACACCAAACTGTGAATTGAGAGTCTCTGTGCCTTGCAAAACGTATGTATAACTCAAAAACTACACTTCAGTCAGTGCTTTCACCTCTCTCAAATCACAGCACAACAGTTCTGTCAGAACTCAGTCAAGGTCACACAGCTGTGCTGCGTCAGGTGAGATTTTGTTCACAGACTACCTGAACTCCTAAGCTGAACAGTACAAAACTGAACTGAATATAAAAATAAGCTTATAAAGATGAAGGTCCAGTCAATTGTCTTTGTCTATTTTAATATGGAGAACTGAAGAGGGCAGAAATATGGTATCAGCAAAAGAAGAATTGTAACTTCGAGGATTAAGCATTAATCTTATTATTAATTAATACTACCTTAATAGTAATTAATGTTAATTAATTTGTATTTTAATTTGTCTAGTATAGAACTCTAATGTAAAATAGGACAAATAACCTGAGTCACTGCTGCTCACATTACTGAGAACAAAATACTCACTTTGAACTTTTGCAAGGTGACTTGATGGGTGCTTGTACGATTTTCCAGACTGACATTTCTGTTTAAGTGTATTCTCCAAATTGCAATTTTAAATTAATCTTTGCTCTTAGCCTTGAGGGTTTTTCTGTGAGCATCACAGTGCTCTTCACATTTAGAATATCATCTTAAAAGGTACATCTTTTAAATGTACATCCTTAAGATTTTTACAGAATGATTGCTCAGTTGCAGTGACTGCATTTCTGAGCTCAGATTTCTGACCTTTGTTTGTTTGTGTGTTTTTTATTTTCCCCATGTCTTGCACATTAATTATTTGTTTAATATCTCTTTTTAGATCAGATTCTATGCTAATATAGAGAGACTATGTAACACCAAATTTGATGAAAGAACAAATATTTTCTCATATCAGCAGTTTACATATGGATGAAAGAGAAGATTTTTTTCTAACCACATCATGGATATTTAGAAACAAAATTGCTTGATTTTGTAGATATGTCATTTATGTAGTTGCATCATTAATATAATGCAATAAGTGATTGTTGTGTTTTGTTGGTTTTTTTCTTTCGTTTGGGTAAACTCTTTTCTTGTTTCCTCTTTCCATCTCTTTCTTTCAGTCCAGACTTTCTTTGTGAAAGGCTACTAGAATTTCCATACAATTCTGACCTTTCTCAATGACTGCATCTTTCTCATACACCTTTCAGCCCATTTACATTGTCCCCAGCAGGAACTGTGAATGTTCAGGTTAATAATCTGTGAGTGTCTGCCATAATGACAGTAATATAGGGTGAGATTAGTTTAATCAACAGATAGCTTATAAAGATAGTTTCAAGACCAAAGTGTACACTGATATTCCTAGGAGAGTAGGGTCTTAGGTGAGGCATACAGACAACATTCTGGAAATTGGAATAATACTAAATTGTGTACTTTTGCGTGGACAAGTAGATGCGGCTCAAGTTAAGATTTCTTGCTTTTTGGGGGTTCAGAGAATTTTCTTTTCCCTACTGGTATCAATTTTAATGGCTTCACTGCATATTTTTTCAGGTTTCTTAGGGTTTGCCTATTTGTTTACTTGAAACATCATCTAAAGTAGGTGTGTAATATGCAATACCCTGCCTGAATGAAAGTGTATTCAAATGACAGGATGACTGAGGATGAAATATATACAAAAACAACCAGGGGTGGCTGGATATGCACAAAAGCCTCTGAGTTCCCCTCCATCTGCTGGCAGTAGTGCTGACCTGTGGCCATCATAAAGTGCAAGTTCTCAGTGGAAGTGAGGGCATGTTTTGTCTGTCAGCAGCTCTACATGAAATCTTAGCTGTTCATTAAGGTTTCTTGTGATTAGGCTAATCTGCCAAAAAAGTGTTGTTCCTGATAGACTCTGTTCCCATCAATCAGGCTCCTGGGAACTGAGCTGCAGCCATTAATCAGACCTATATGTAGTCATCGCATACCAGCCAGTCTACTGTGCTTCACATTGCTTTAATTTCCAGTCAAATATGCATGTCTTTATTGAAATAGGAATAATGTTTCATGGCAAATAATAATCAAGCATTTGCTGAATTCTTAGTGCTGTTCTTTGCAATCAAGGTAATTTCCACGTTGTGTCATTTCTATCAATAATAGTAATCCAGTGGGACCTTCAGAGGTTGTTCTGTTGCTTCACCCAGTTGCCTTGATGGTCCATTGAGCAATGAATATTCCTGACGTGTTGCTGTTGCAGAAGCCCCTGTGATAACTATTGGCAATTATTATGGTCATGCACTGTGAAAATTCATTGTCCAGTAGCTGTAATTATGATAGTAAGAACTTTCAGCTAGTAGGGTTACCTAGTTAACTCAAACAATTCTCAAACTATAATATTTATTTTAATAGGCTTATTCTGTTGAGACATGGGAGTAAATGTAGTCTTTCTACATATAACACGTGCAATTGATATTACAAATATTTTGCACTTCCACTAAATATTTATTGTCTCGTTTTAAGCTTCAGTTTTATTTTTATAATACTGATTAGATAAATTAATATATTAATAAAACTGAGTTAACTGAAAAGTAACTTAATGAAGGATAGTTGTTATTCTGAAATAGCTTCCATAATTCCTTGTTTCCTCATCTTTCAATGTCTGTTGTTTTCTTATCTATGATAAATTTTCTTGTTTTGAAATTTGAAGCAGAAAAGGCACCACTTTGACATAGTGATAAAATTGTCTTTCTCCCAAGGTTTAAAATTGAAAATGTCTCTAAACAGATTTTTTTTTTTGTATGGACACAGATGGCAGGTTTGTGAAATTCAGCATAAACGTTATCTTCTTTATTGATAATTGATTGTCAGGGGAGTTTAAAGAAGCTCATGGGATGTTACAAATTTATTTCTGAGCATGTCTGAAGGACATCTGCCAGAGTTGTAAGAGAGTTGAACAAAGCTTCACCTATTCAGCACATAACTAGACACTCTGCACATGCAGCTTTCTGCTTTCACACTGTTTCCCCTCACACATGTGGGGGGTTTGTGAATGTCTCCATGCATTCCGTGAAGAAATATCTTTCAGGAAATATCAAGGGGAAGAAAATTGCAGGTTGATGTAGTTTTGAGGGATTTAGCAATTTTTTGTTGAATTTACATCATCAATATTCTGCTAAGCAAAAGAGAAATATCCTCGGCACTACATAACCTGGAAATACTAGTGCTAGACAGAAACAGAAATAGAATATGCCACAGATATCTATTATTGGCTTCTTATTGCAGTGAGGAAATCTGTATAGGCAGTGAATCAAAGCAGAAAGATAGCAACTGTGCACCACTATCCTTATACCTACATGTATTGAAGTATCTGTGTTCGCTTTCAAATGCAACAGGTATTTATTGATTAAATACCAACTCCAAGAACACATACTGAAGATAACCTTAAAAAAATTGATCAAAGTTAATTAGACACAAAGGAGCAAATTTATGTAAGTAAAAAAATGTAGGTTTTTTTTCCTCTGTGGTGGTGTCTAAAAGAGTCCCAGCTAGTCTAATTGTATGCTGATGGGCTGTAAAGAAATGTAAATTAAGGTAGAAAAATAAGGACTTTGTATAATATTACTAATGAAGTTAAAACATAGAGTATGTTCCTTGTTTGGTCCAATAACACATCCAAAATTGATCCAAAAAATCACTCTATGATAGTAGCACTCTTTGAAATGTCTTTTTTTTTTTTATTTTTTTTTTTATTTATAGAATCAGGTAAGATAATAGCTAACACTGTGAGGTGACATGATGAAGAAATATGTGGAACTCAAAGTTATTGATTTTTTGTGCGTACATTGGTTATCCAGTAGTAGTCCAAAGATGTGTAGACTGTTATGGTGCAGCCATTAAATTTCTATCTAAATTAACCTGCAAAAGTATCAGATTTGCATTAACCTGGAGCAAGATTACATAGTATCACTTTCCTTTTCCTTCAGCCAGCAGGATCTTGTATTTGTATGGAGGCACTTAACTCATAAATTTGTCCATCTTAGCCTCCAAACAATTATTTACTGATTGTTACATGTTCAAGTCCCTATAATGGAGAATTGTAGGGCACATTAGCAGGATGGCAATAAGTTATTAAAATTATTGCTATTTGAGTAGCAGTTCATTCCTGGCTATGTGTTTGTGAAGTGTTCTTCTGTTTCATGTTTAATCTTTTTTGTTTTCACTTCCAGGAGCTGGAGTTTTCCAACCTGTTTGCAGTCCTTCACTGTATCCACTCATTCTTTGCAGCCAAAGTGGCTTGTTTGGACCCTTTGTATGTAGGCAGCCAAGCCACAGCTTCTGCTCTTCCCACAACTTCTGGTACTGGCAAATTAAAGTATACTACTTGACATCTCATATGACAGCACTGCCACTTAACAAGGACACATAACAATGTATAAATATTCATAAGATTTAGACCTTTGGTGAACCATGTACGTGGAAACCAATCCTGGAGGCAAGACATACTGCAGCATCAGCAGATAAATGGTCACATGGGATCATAATTTCATCTCAGTTCTGCAAGACGTCAGTAAATAATACTAGTCGAAACCCCAGAATAGGATGGATATGCTTTTAGTATTATCTATTTGTACTTACATAGTGCTTTAAACAACACTGGAAGCAAAGGAATAAATGATGAAATGAAGCACTTGAGTATTTAATAAAAATTTCAAATTGCTGTAATAATACGCAAAAAGAATTGTCATTTTCCTGTTTTCAGATTTTTTTATGACAATATACTAAACTCTGAGTATGAATATAATGCCCTATCATTATATTATAAATGAGAGCAAGCAGCAAGCATATAATACATGATGAAAAGGAGATAAGCATGAAAAGTCATTTGTGTAAGTATCTCCTCAAGTAAGAAAGCACTTTAAACACTGCTGTAAATCCATACTTGTGTCCATACATGGAATCATGCTACTTTTTCCATTTTGTTTTCTTAGTCTAACAGTAACAACAACAAAGATATAGCCATACTGGACTGATAAATTAAAACCAAACCAAAAAAAAACAAGCCACAAAAAGCAAAACACCTTTTCATTGGTAAGACCCTCTTCTTCAAGTAAAAATAATGGCATATGAATTTAATTTTAATAACAAATTAAGTGCAAGTACAAAAAATATTGTCAGCTATTTACTTCCTCTTTTTTTTGTCAAGAATACTGTAAATCTAACAGTCTTTGTTCACAAGATTATGAATTTGTTTCAGAGACAACCCACTTAATATGTTTCTTCCATGGTTTAACTTTGATTTCACGTCATAAGTAGGATGTCTGCTCCACTCAAGCTCTCAAGAAATAGACATTTTACGTTATGCTTGGAAAATTAGTTCACTCTTTGAATTCTTAATAATTTATATTTTATAGATCTACATCGTTAGTAAAAAACAGGAATAATTTAAATAAGCTGTAATGAATAGATTACAAAATGGATAATTTCTTTGTCTGTTAAGACCATTACATCAGTCTGGACCACGTACTAATTCGAGAGTATCATTTAAAGTTGAAATATGAGGGACTTGTAAATTTAAAATTAATAACTTTATTTAATTACAATTTTGCAAAATAATTTGATGCTGTGCTATGACACACATCAGTGAACATGGGAAAAAGGTGTGAGGATGTGTGTGATATAGTTGAAACAACAGAAAAGGTGAGGGATTTTTTCTTTTGATAAACAGGAAAGAGAACCAAAAAATACAGGAAGAACAATTAGTGAGCTACAGTTTGGGCAAAACATTTTTAGTAGTATTTGTGGGTTTTCTGCTTATTATATTGTAATCAAAACTTCCTTTCTTCCCCCCCCCCTTAGACTTGTTAATAACAGGTATGGGCTAGGGACACCATCTGCCTTTTTTAGCAGACAGGCAAATTCTTTCGCATTCCTTTCTACGTATTAAGATAATTAAAAACTTCAAAAGTGAGGCCAGAGAAAAGCTTATCAAAATGGGAACAATTCAAACTGCAAGGCAGGGGCAAAAGATTAACAAAATGTAGGCGCAAATCATGTCTCTGTTTTATTTTGCTTTGCATTAGAAGTATTTAGATTTACATATGTGGGAGTTACATTGCTTTTAAGTATAACTGATCTAACTTGATACTAGCTCCAAATAATCAAAAAATATATTTTTCTGAGGACTCTTTTATCACTTTCAAATGTTTTTCAGTACACATTTACTTCCTTTTGGTACACCTCCAAGGGCTACACATTTATTTTTAATTTTAAATATAGTAGAAGGATGTCATAATCCAGCTATTAAATACTATAAGTGTCATCAAAATCCAACATATTCATAGGCATCATCATGTATTTGTTCATATGAATCGTCCTTAAATAAGGGCATCACGTACTGGTCTCTGAGTGACAGATAGAACTACTATGGCTGTCCATAGGATCTTGAGTTTGCTCCTGGGAGAGTACAATCCCCAAATACTTTGAATCCAAAGCTGCAACAGTCTAAGAGGTTTAACAGTTGTGTCCTCGTCAAGAAAGCATATACTGGAAACACAGATCTTGGCAGAGTGCTGACAGTGCTGAAAACAGAAGTCTGATATCTGTTAATGACAGTTCTCCTCCTCAGTGCTCCCAAATCATCTCCTTCTTTCAGTGCATTGCTGTGGCATGCAGCTATCACAGTGTCGGCATACACTAACACCTCAGTCCATGCTCTGCTGGCACTGGCAGAATCTAAAACTAGTCAGCTGCCAGTTGAATGTTTTTCTTGCAACTGTCCATGTTATGTGCACTTTTGTACCACTGAAACTGAGAGGTATTTAAGAGATGTGCTTGCATGAGCATAACATTTACCCAAACCAGCACTAAGTATGTCATTGGAAATTTCTGTAGATGAAGAGATTCCATTATATGACAGCCCCCAGAAAAATCAAAATACTAAAAATTATCATTGTGCAGAACGGAACTAATGACAGGAACTTTTGGGACACCAGGGTGTCCTGAAGATCTCTGACAAGTATTCTTTTTGTAGAACCTCTGTATTCATCACCGAGACTTTTGCAAGTGGGCATTAAATACACAACATTTAAGAAACACATTAGCCTGTAAATTGATTTTCTTTTTGTTTTTCTAAAGAGGTCAACTGGCAGGACTTAATCAATACTTTATTTTCAGAAAGATAAAATTGATACTGAGAGAATATAAGACGTCATAGCCTTGACTGTAGGTCAACATTTATTTTTTAATGCAGCAGGGGTTTGTGCAGTGACGTCACAGAATATTCAGAGGTGCCTCTGCATCCAACCTGACCCTTGTAAAGCAAGTTGGTCGGAAATTCAGTCTTGAACCAAAGAGGGAAAGTTTAAACTCTGTGTTATAAGTAATCCTTAAATACCAAAACAAAATTTACAAACATATTAAAAGGCTACATTTTTCATTTAAATGCCTACAAGAGGTTCCCATTCAAAGCATAGGGAACTTCATATGTATATGTCAAAACTCAGGCTTTATGTTGCAGCCTGTCATTTCACACTTAATATAAAATGAATAAAAGTATTTCATAAGTACACACAGCCCAGAGACAATGAAAAAAAACACAATTATGAGCCATCAGCTTTTGCTAAAATATGAGTATGCAAGTGGAGGCAAATATTTTAAGAAGAAAGGGCAAACCAACCAACCCATAATATGTAATTTATTTTCTTTATGTCATGATACTGTCAAGTTAGTTTAATAAAGAAAATTCTTTATAGTACTGTGCCTATTGAAGTGATGTTATACAGTATACCAAAAATACACTTGGTTTGATTTGCTTTGCTTTGTGATGGGAATTTTAGATAATCTGATCTTCAAAGAACTAATCATATGATAAGTTATAGTGTTAGCATAATTTTATTAGGGAAGTGTTACTGGTTTGAATACATATTATTCTTGATTTCATCAGTAAATGAATACATTTCTTTTCCTAAATCTGTTTAAAAATACAGTTAGAGATTTTCAAAAGAGCTTTGCGTTCTAGTAGCATGAAGGCATCTTTGAAATAAAGATCAGCATATTTTTTAGCTGTTCACCATTTTATTATCTTAATTAAGTGCAGTAAGTTTGTGGAGACAAGCTAATTGTGTGCTATTTTTTAAAACCAGTAACTGGAAGGGTTTTTTTGCAATTCAAACTAGAATTTTTAAGAATGCAAATCAATAATACACAGTATCAATTTGCTTTGAGATGAAAATCATCTCAAAGTCATCTTATTTTCTGGATTAGTCCTTGATTCTACAAAAATATATTTATTTATTTTAGACATGTGGACTTTTCAGAACACCTCAAAGTGCACAATCAAACGTGTAGGTAGTTTTCAGCACTGCAACCTGCTACTTTAATTGTGATTTGGTTTATTCAATGCCTTAAGATGTTTCTTGAATCAGAAAAAAATGTTAAAAAAGTTGAAGATCTCATGAATGTATAACAGTTTTCCTTAGAAAGTCAGACCAGTTTTCATTCTGCTTTGACTATTCCAAGGAAGCTTTTGGAAATTTTATTAATATTAAACACTAATCCTTGCATTTGACTTTCCATTTCTTTATGGGATCTGGTCTCTGAAAAAGTATAGTGTCTGAACAAATGTTTAAACTGATTTTAAAATTTCTGTATCAGGGAATTATGAGTTTGTGCTTTGGACTCGCACCTCTGACCAGTTCAGTATGATGGGAAACATGAGAGACTCACTCAAGCTCCCAAAATTTAACTACTTGTCTTAGATGCCACTCAAGGCTCTCAAAAGGGAAACACAAAGCAGGACTGTAGCTTCAGGTATCTGAAGGTGCATGTGTATGTCTCTGTCTCTCTCTCAGGAGCTAGAGGTGCTCCTATCCTAGTGCTTTAATTTTATCAGAAATGTGTTTTTTTAATATGGGCTCTGCCTGCACCCACTAATTGTGCTATTCTTCATATCACAGAGCGGTCTTTAAGCACATGAACCGTTTTTATCAGGATGAAACTAAACAAGCATCACATCTATATAAGTTCCAGGTCCTAATGGGCTTTCAGACCATGCAGCCCAACTGAAATGAGTTCAGAGTAAAAAAACCCTCTGACACGCTGCCAATGATACTGCCAGGTTCTGGTGCCAGGCATTTCTGTGTCTGTGGGGCTGCTGCTTGTGCGCTGTGGGTGCTTGAAGGACCCTAAAAAGCTGAGCTTCCCAGTATAGTCCACCAGAGCTTAGTGCCTGAAGGGGGATGTTGTGCTGCGGCAAGGGGCAGAATGAAGCTGAAAAAGGCTGAGGTTGCCAAGGGCCAGTTATTCTGCATCATTTTCCCTCACCACACTGGGATAGTATTGGCTGCAAGGAGGCTACCCCATGCAGGTCAGCCTTCTCCCTGATGCATCTTTTTCCTGGTCTATCACATGCAAATACATACCTGAATATTTACTATGAGGTCCCCAAGTGTACCTCCCTGTTTCCTCACCCCCGTTATTCAGACAGATGGAAAACTGTACTCTCGCCTACATAAGGGAGCCACCAACTCTTATACACAGTCAGGGGACAGTGTTAAGGATTATGGCAAGAGCATCTGTGTAGCAGTAAGAGTGCTTGAGTGTAATTAACATTCAGGTTATAGCAAAGTCATATCTGTGCTTAAGTGCTTTCCTGACTTGGAGGGTTCTTAAGTGGAATTTTTGTATTTTCCTGAAATAAGTTCTATAATGTCAACACATTTCTACTTGCTTGGCTCAATTTTCAGGAAGTTTGGTAGAGACAGTGGTTCATATCTTGTTGGAATAATAGAAAAAAACATAGGAATACTGGAATAAAAATAAATTTCTGTTCTGATTCTGTATATTATTACAGTACATTACGTAATCTATTGAAATATATTGAACAATTTAAAACTAAATGCTTTCATTTACATTACCTAGTTTTACTACGGTATACGTGGCTTCCACTTTCAACAACTTTCTCCACAGGAATCCCAGCTATATATTTTAGAAATTATTTTATTATTCAGTATATACTAATATATAATGCAGCGTGTGTGTATGTGTGCGTGTGTGTGTGTGTGTGTGTATATTAGTATATACTAACGGAAGATATTCAGTATATATTAATGAGAGTTACATATTAGGCACAACTATGAAACAGAAGCATAAATCCATGAAGCTTTACATTTAAAAACTTATAATACTATAAAGAAACATATGTATATTAGTTGAAGAAATGGCTATTTTTGCAGGATATGCACAGTCTGGGTATATGATAATAAATTGATAAACACTAACTAATTTACTATTTCATACCTCCAGGAACTTTTTTTTTTATTATTATTCTTATCCCTTTAGCATATTTGCAGTATATATCAAAAGTTTTAATTTGTTATGAATAAAAAATGACTGAAAAAATGTAATAGAAAGTGCTATATATTTTATAAATATTAGAAATTTAAGAAAAGCTATTCAAATTATTTATTTCATTTTTAGTTAAGGTTTTGTGATTGTTTGTAATATGTATTTGTGACAAGCATAAATCACCTAGTTGTTTAAACTCATTAATGTATCACTAATAAAATGCTATCTTCTGTTTTGTTTTTGTTATGCTTCTTTTTGTAATGGAACATAACAGAAAAAATAGAAAATAAATACTTTTTTTAACTAACCTTTTGCATTCAGTCATACAGTGTATGAGTTTTATATCATTGAAAGCCAAGTCTGGGAAATCAAGGAAGTAGTTGGAGACCCTGGGGTAGTAAAGTTATTTCCCAACACTATGCACAACTGGTTATTTGATAGAAATAATGACCATTCCTTACCTGTATGATCAAGGCATATAACCCACTTAAAGCTTGACTAGGATTTTGGAAATATCCGCCTCTCTCCTAGCTATGAGGCTCACCTGCAGCCAGATTATTTTACCACATTTGACCATTGACATTTAATTCTTAGTTTTGTTTGGAATTAACTTAGGCCCAATACTGCAGTGCATGAAAGCATTTTTGGTATATCTTTGAAACCAAACAGCTTTAAAATGATGTTGCATGTACTAGAACAAAACCAACTTCGGTGAGTTTGATTTTCTTTGTCTTTTTCCCTGACTGAGGGAGGAGATGTTAAAAGTCCCCTTCTTTTATTTAGGCACCTTTGTACGTTTTTAACAATTTGTGGTGAGTCAAGTGCACACCTTACAAGCACATTTTTAGTGCCTTTCTTGTGCTCCCAGTTTAGAGAAGCAAGGTAAGCTCCCTTATGGCAGTGCTGCTGTCACTTTTCTCTCTCAGCCCCTCCACAAGCAGTCACTGAGGCTTTTTTGGACCTCAGGCTGGTGTTGACTTCCTCAGTTCTGCACCCAAGGAAAGCTTCCTTTGTGATCCCAGCCCTTTCAGCGTCTTGAAGAGAAGGAAAAAAATATGAAGTTTATTGGAGTCATAAGTGTGATGAACACTTTGTGTTGGAAAAATCCTCAGTCCTCATTCCCAGATATGATTTGGCTCTTGTGGGTTAGCAAACACACATAACTCTGTAACATCAGTTAGTTACCTGCATTTCAAGTTTGTTTTTATACCACATTTAAGTGAAAGGCCAGAAAGAGGAAAAAAAAAGAGGAGAGAGGTCTTTAAAAAAAAAAAGTGAAGAGAAACATAGAATATTACAAGGCTAGGAATACCATCTAAGTAAGTATAATCCAAATGCACAGAGATCCTGTTGTAGCTACCATTTTTATTTGCTGTTAAATAGGAACTATGCATTATATTGAGAATATGGACTCATAGAATGGAAAGGTTTATTTTTTCTGGAACTACCTATCTTATTTTGAATTATCATTTTTAATCTAGCATCTTTTACATCTTGTCCACAGATTTTGACCTCAAATGAAAGGTCTTGTACTCAAAATTTCTTAAGATACAGCCCTTGAATAACTTTCCTTAAAGTCATGGTTCTTATGTTGCACAGCTTTTTCTCCAAGCCCTACAGCAGTTTATTCTTGCAACTTTTGGAGTTAATTGTGATCTACTTACCTGTGCATTTGACCAATAAAAGTTAGCACAGTATAATATTTGCGTCTTACCAATGATTAATTTGTACAGTTTTCTAGTGCTTCTTTTTCAGTTTTGACAGTAGTTATTCTGTCTGTGAAGTTGTTACAATCTGCTTAAATGTTGCAGAAAGAACTTCAGATTCGAATATTCCCTTGAGCAAAAGTAAAACTCATACAAGTTATATGTTGATACCAAAACTGATTTTATTAATTGCTAAGAGATGCAAAGAGAAAGAGGAAAAAATAAGAAAAGGTTGGAAAATGCTAAGATTACTTCTAAAAGCAGATAAAAGATACCACCAAAGCTACCTTTCTGCTGAGATGGTCTGTGGGGGGAGGAGAGGAGATGTAGTTTTCTGCCTTTTTTTTTCTCTGTCTCTGCAGCTTTTTGATGTTATCTCTTTAGCTGCAGAGAGTCTTTACAGCTTTAGCTCTCTGGAATGCAGCCAGGATGTGGGTTCCACCCCTCACGCTGGGCTGTGTCCCAGGTCATGCAGAGTCCCGTTCAGCCACTCCTTTCGGCCCTCAGAAATATGGTCAGGGTGGAGAAATAAGATTTGACTCACATATGTCGCACAGAGGTTCTCAGTCCTCTCTGGGTCAGCACAGTTCCAGTCCTCTGATAGCAGGCAGGCAGCACATAGTGGCAGGAGAAAAAGGTGAGGGCGAGGTGGGGGAGAGACTCTCGACTATAGTAGCCAATTCTCTTTCCCACTCTTCTTTCCCTATTTTTTCAAAATTTCTCCTCAACTTTCATAGTGTTCAAAGGAGATTGTACGTGATTTCTTGGCACATATGTTCGAAGAGATATGATAATCATAAAAAATAGCAGGATCCTTTGGCAGGAAAACTCCAGTGGGAAATTCTGGTGAGAACTTCTGGTGGAAAACTGACACAGAATTTTTTGGTAGGAAGTTTTTGACAGACAGAAACAATGGCAAAACATAATTTTTTGGCATTTTTATGTTATCTGTCTGTTACAGAAGTAGTAGTGTTTGGGATTTTTTTAAGTATTCTTCAAATACAATGCCCATTACAAATGAAAAATTATATCCTTTAAAATCCTAATCAGAAGAAAAACAATTTATTCCCCTTAGTGGTATGGTTAATATTACTATGCAATTGTTCAGAAAAGTGAAGAGAGGGTTTCACCATACAGCCACTATTGGCATTTGTTGGCTATGTGCTTTATGTACTTTGCATGCACCCTCTTCTCACAACTCTGAGCAGAATATCTTCAGAACCCTTTCCTTCTATCTCATATATGGTACAGGTAGTAACCAGCCCTTGCTCAGGACTCAACACTGTGAACAAAATTTTAGTAGTTGAAAAAAGCTTCCTCCTGTGGGTTTCACCAGTTTGGAGATGATGTAAAACTCAAGACCATAAACAGGGATTTTATTCTTTTTCCTAAAATACACAGCATAAAACAGTAGCAGCTGGGAGAGGCTGTGTGGAAGCACTGCCACTCCACACTCCCTGTTTTGGCTTTGCAGAATTGTGAGCATAGAAGACAATAGTGTTTTACTTGCTTTTTGTTTTTCTGGATTACCTAAGGTGCAATCTGAAACTTTTTCAGACTCTTTTTTTTTTTTGCTACAGACCGGAGGAGTAGAAAAATTTCTTAGTAGATGCTGAGATTGTCATGTGAAGATTTCTCTAGAAATTGAGACTTTAAGAAAAGTTACAATAAAAAAAAAGCTCCATCATGTACCATGAGCTTCAGTGAAGAGGCAAGAGCGAAAGTTCTTATGCAGCCAGATCAAAATTCTAACCTTTCTCTCCTTTTGGCTAGATGTCTTTTCTTTTTTTTCTTTTTTCTTTTTTCCTTTTCTTATTTTGCTTCAAGAGCCTAGTGAGGGAAGACAAAAGATCTCAGAAAGGTCAAACCCCCTCACTGAAGCAAGGAAGCAAGACAGTGGGGTGGTTGGCCGTGGTCTTTGCACTGCAATACCACAGAGAGCAGCAAAGGCTTCGATCATAGCAACATCATAAACAACTTATGTTTTCTTCACACTAGAAGACAAATATTTGAAAGAAGCATGAAGACCTTGAATCATTTCACAAGAATCAGGAGTTCAGACTGTGATTAATATGGAAACTAAAGGCAGAGGGAACTCATGTCTGGGTGGTTCATGTGACTGCAAGCAGGTCCACAGGGGCATGCACAGCACTCTTCCCACACAGGGAGGCTGAGGGCCCCAGTGCTGGTGAAGTTCAAGAGAGATCTGAGCTATCTGAGGGGATTAGGGGAATGTAGTGATCTACTATGAAGGACCAAGGGGCTGGTGAGATGGAAGAAAAATGTTCAGAGGAATATGAATTTAGGAAGAACAGCCTGAGCTACTGAATCTTACCCAGTTTCCTCAGCCAGTCATATCATATAACACATTTCACAAATGTTTAAACTTCTTAAAAATAATTAGACTTTTTGTCCCTTTTCCTCTTGTTGGAAACCCTTCTGGAATCTGACTGCTCTGATGGTTTTAAACTGTCTTCCAATTTCCAACCTAAACCTATTTGTAACTAGTTTATATCTATTTGATCTTGTGCCAGCATTATCCTCTAATTTAAACAGGTTTTTTTCCAGCCCTAGTGTCAGTCCCCCCTTTCCCCTTCTCTTCTTGATGTATTTATAGCAAGCAATCATATGCCCTGACAGCTTTCATTGTGCCTGAATGCACAAACCAAGCTCATGCAGAAGATGTCTGTGCAGTGCAGTGAAATTTGGTGCAGAAAATCCTGAGCTATTGCTGACTCCAGCTGATATGTCTACCTGTTGTGCTGCAGCAAGACCAGCTCAGGGCCAGAAGCAGTTCATTCACTTTAAATGCACTTTAAGATAATAAATGCAGCCCATCAGCACCACACTGTGATATACTGCTTCTAGAGCAGATAAAGACCACAGCAGCTCAGGGGTTTCAGCACTGCTCTTCAGTGCTCAGTGCAGACATTCGCTAATCGGGCTCCCTGGCTTGTTTCCATACCATCCTAATGGGATGCAGTATTACTCTAAATCCGTTCTGATTTTACTTTTTTCCTAGATGGTGACTACTTCTGCACCTTATACCATGGTCCAGATATGATCTCCCTTATGTCCTGCCCTATGGCCATAATATTTGTCTCTGTCTGCAAAGACTGTGACTGGTAGCATGAGTTATTTCTGTGACTGCATCATACTGGTGACTCACAGGCATCCTGTGCAAAGCTAGTATATCATGGAGCTACTTGCTCTTCCAATCATGTGATCAGCTCTCAGCTCATCAGTAGTGAGGATAGGGTATAGGAACAGGTCAGTTTATCACCCAGAAGATAAACTAGGAGTTTTTCTCCCCCCCCCCCTTCATTATGGGGAAGGATAGACAGAGAGAAATGAGCCATCCTTTTAAGAGTTGGCTTTCTACGAGACAGCTCCAAGTGGCATCAGGATAAAAATGCAGATTTGGATGCAAATTCTTTTTCTGGAAGGCAAGTTAGAGAATTTATATGCCAGTTCTACCCTTCCCACATCTTTTGACTTCCAGCCATGACTGAATAGAAGAAAATAAA